CCATATTGCTGAAAGCCGCAACAGATAAATCCATTATTGGACTTCTAAGCAGCTTTTACATTGAGCAAATATTGAGGCAAGTCAGAAATGTAAACTTGATGTGATAAATGAAATCTTAAGTGATGAAAATTGAAAGCTGTATATTAAAAATATCAGCAGTAAAGCTCTATTAACTGAAATATGATTAAAGAAACTATACTAAAGCCTTTACATAGCACAGAATTATTGGCATAATTTCAACTAAAACCTACTCCAGTCTTGTTTTGACCAGCATTTCATTTCACCATAGCTGCTATTCCTTCTGGCACCACACTGTAGTAGACCTGTGTAAAATGAAGTCCCTTCAGAGGCCTGTGACAGACTGCATTACCTAGTCCTGCTATATGACAAGCCATAACACATGTTCCATTCCCAAAATGACTTTTGGGACTTGCAATCTATGATGAGTGGAAAATTACTTGCTAATGTGACAAAAACCATTTTAAAAACTGCATGGAAGGCTAACCTATTATTATGCAGTCGCATACCCAGCAGCAAATTAACCCAAGTCTCATAGACATTTTTTTGTATATATCCCCTAATAAATTAGTACAACTGTGAGAATATTTACTAGGAATTTAAGCAATAAAGAGAGCTGGATCAATATACTGTTACGGTCAGAAGTCAAGCTGTTTGATAGATAACTTTTTCCCCATTTTCAAAAATCTCTGATCTACATGCTTCTCTCTGTATGAATTATTCATTTTATAAGGGCAATATTTGTTGAATGACTGCATATTTTATGGATAAAATTCACTTCTGTTGAAATGTTTTATTTTTCTATGCAATCAATAAACAAATTTAAATGTTCGCTGCTTTTAAGTATGCCATGTAGAAATAGTGGGGAAGACTCCTTTTTATCATTTTTAAAACATGGGTGTGTGAAAAAAGTGATAATAAAAGAAAGTGGGGATAGAAAGTTTTAAAATACAGGCAAATAGATTTATAAAACTATATGTAATTTTCTTTTTTTTTTTAAATCTGGCACCATATTTACTCAAATATAAGATGAGGTTTTTCCCCTTAATCAGCATGATGAAAAAAACTCCTCATCTTACTTTCACACAGAAGGAAACCACATTAAATTCATTGTCTATCATTAAACTACTGCCAAAAGCAGCATGTGCTAAGTAATGGAAACCAACTACAAAATTGATTAAATGCAACCAATAGTGACTATGACTATAAAATACATGACCCATATTAGGCAAATATACTAATGGGAATGTACCACAAGGATAGGTTAGTGCATCCCATATGAATAAAATATATGGCAGTGCCCATTGCATGTACTTCCCCTCAGTGCTGACTTTGTTTCTAGTCATGGTAAGCCACTACATTTAGTACATTTTAGCTTCCTCTTCACCCCCATAACTGTGCTGCATATTTCTAAATGATGCGTTTAGGGAGCCCTTGTGCTAAAACCTGCAGCAGTTTCAAAAAAGGTAAAATGCATCATTTTTGGATGAACTAAGTCTATGAATACATATAGTAATTTGCCTGTATGCAACTTACTACAGGTATGCTGCTTCCAAGGTCACTGTTTTCAATGTTGCCTATCACTTCCATATGCTCATGGAGAGCAGAGTCTGACACTAAGGAGGGGGTAAGGGGCTCCAAGGGGGAAGAAGCTGGGGTGGGGGGACAGGGGGTAAGGGGGCTACCTGATTCCATATATACAATCTAATTGTTGTCTTATATATAGGAGCATCTTATAGTTGAGGAAATATGGTAAGTAATATTGAAGGTTCATTCATTCATCTAGTACAGTGCTTCTCAATCTTTTTAGACTCAAGATACCTCTCGATTGACTCAAGGCAATTTCAGAAAATGATCTTAGCTTTTACTCATTTTTTGACTATGGAGCTCAGAAAGATCACAACAGGTCAGCATGTTTTTGATATTATGGATTCTTCTTTAAAATTTCTGGGTTTATCTTGTGAAATCATATGTGGGGACTTGCACACCTAACAGTGCTAAAAACTTGTGGCACCCTGCTGAGTTCTTAAAGAGATTTTGCAACACTGTGGATTAAAATCACTGATCTAATATAAAACGGAAGAATCTTCTTAGGGTCAGGAAGAGCCTCTTATGTTGCCTAGTCAGGGAAGTCAATAAACCTTGTGTGGGCAAGGTATTAAATAGGATTTTTTTCTTTGATGAGGCCTCTTATTGCCAAGAATATGGCAAGAGCAGACATTACCAGACCTTTCCTTCACATAATCTGAATTAAAACAGGGAAAACCTGTGAGCCTCAGATTATATGTAAAGTTATTGTGGTTATTTTTCCTTTAAAATTATAGATAAATATATTTATAGGTGCATATAAATAGGTATATATATCCCAGTTCAGTTGTTAAAGGGAGGTACATTTTAAATATAGTTTAATGTAACTGATACTGATTTCTGTATGGACACACATGCTTTTTGTAATATGTGTCATACGGCTGAGATTTTTCAAATTGTCTTATGGTTTTGAGTGCCTCATTTTTTTTGGTCCTTGTTTTGGGAGACCACTAGAGGGCCTTATTTTGAAAATTTATGAGCACTGATTATTTAAAAATTATGGTTGTTTATTGACTTTTGCCTACTCACATACTCTACCTATTCTCATTAGCAAGCAAAGGAAATATAGACTAGAGGAGGAAGGTATTGTGCAATGGCTATGTAACTGGTTGGATCATCATGCTCAGTAAGTAGTCATCAATGGCTCAGTATCTAGTTGGGAGGAGATAGCAAATGGAATTCCCTAGGGATCTGTCCTGGTCTGATACTGTTTAATATCTTCATTAATGGCTTGGAGGATTGGAATGAGTGCACACTTGTAACAAATTTGCAAACAACGTCAAATTGGGTGGCGTTACAGACACTGTGGAAGGTAGGGCTAGAATTCAGAATTACTTTGATAAACTAGAGGAATCATTCAAAATCAGTTGGATGAAATTCAGCAATGACTCTTGGGATGAAACAATTGCATGCAAAGGCTGAAAGTGCTAGGTTTGTTTAGTTTATCGAAGAGAAGACTGAGGGGGGATTTGATAACAGGCTTCAAATACCTGAAGGGTATTTACAGGATGGAGATAAACTATCCTCTGTGACTGCGGGAGACAGGACTAGGAGAAATAGCCTTAAATTGTAGGAAGGGAAATTTAGGTGGAATATATATATATTTAATTTTATGTATCCCAAGCCAAATTAGCCAAAACAAATTCCAAATCTAAAAGTCCAGAACCATAAGTGGCCCAACTACTGACGAACATCCTCCACCCCAATCTGAGGCTTCAGATGCTCCCAAAACCTTTGGCAGGAATCCTACTTGCAGGCCCAAGCCCGGAGGCTTGGGGTTCAGATGCCCCCAAGTTTTGCTTACCCTCAGCCATAAGGACCCAGGGGCAAGCCAGGGAGAAGTCTCCCATTTCCATATGTGGGCTTAAAGGCAAGATCTTCCCACTCCAGCAGCTAAGTGGGAGGCTTACTATACATTGCCTTAGCAGGTACTTTCCCCGTGCCAGGAGAGCAGCCTTCCCTGGTGCGGCTAGGAAGACTGCATCCATGGTCACGGTGTTTCTCTTGCCAGGCAGCCATAGACTACATTTGATCTGAGCCTTCGAGAGGCTGAGAAGATTTTTCTCATTAGGAATGTGGTTAAGCATTGGAACATGCTACCTAGATGGATTGTGGGATCACCATCTTTGTACATTTTCAAGAGCAGGTTAGACAGATATTTGACTAGGATGGCAGGGGGCTGTATGGCAGATTGCAAGGGGCTGGACAACTTCCTGAGGTCCCTTCCAACCCAACTGTTCTATAATTCTGTTGGGTGTCTAAGTAGATTTAAGATCTTAAATGCTATTATATTCCATCCTGTTTACATCCCTGATAATCCATTAATGCATCTACTTTTGTAGCACAACATCATCTTACTCCAAGACTGAGTCAAAAAAAGTAGTGAGAAAGAGGAGAACCCAACCCATGTTTTTCAGGGTTGTGAATAGGGCAGATTAGAATTAAATTTAGGTGTCTAAATCCACTTGTATTCCTGATAGATGGAATAAAATCTGGCCCCTATTTATTTCATGTTTGCCATACTGGTTTATCTTAGTTCAGATACATTAGCCACAGTTACAAATTTTAAGTGTTTTAATTTACATTAATTTGATTGTTAGTGTTTGGTATATAAAAGTGTGATATTTAACACAAGAAAACTAATACTCAGGCTAATTACAACTACTACATTTATTGTTTACCCAGAGACTGAAAATAACCTAGTAATATTAAGAACAAATATGCAACTTTAATTTTGCAGGCTTTTGCTGGATTAAGGAAGTCACTGCAATATTCTCTTTTATTTATCAGCTGTGTAATTTGTTGTTTTAGCCTTTTAAAGGGAAGGAAACGATACTTAACAGGGAGAACAAATGTAGGAAGTTCAATGTGGAATTATCTCTTCAATGACTTGAGTACTTCTCTGGGAATTTGTAATTTAGACATATATGAAATACATTATTGCATACTACTACTTTATGTACAATGCATGCACCTATTGTACAATCCCCCTAAACTAACATTCAATATAGAAAGTTGCAGGACAAAATAAACATCAGATTCTGAACTGAGTATTCAAACTTGCCATCTTAGGGGTAAAAAGTATTCAGAGGGCATTTAATTGAATTTTAATAGACTGACACTGCCGTTAACCAGAGATGTTCCAAAGCCACATTGTATTTCTTTCTTTTTGTGCTTGTTTTGTATTTCTTTTTTTTTTTCTTTTATGAAGAGGCCCTTTTGTCTCCGTGAAAAAGTTGTAGCGTACTTTGTGGATTTGAGAGTAAAATGCCAAATTTCACAGAGAGAATGAGATTTGCAAATCCCAGATTGACTTCAGATGAAGTTGGGGGCAGTTGTGACTTCACCATTCTCTTATGTTTAGCCTAATACAGTCTCCCTTCTCCTGTTGACAGGTACACGTTAGTGGATATTTTGCGTGCCATCCTTCTTTCTTTGGAAGCCATGATTGAAGACCCCGAGCTTCAAGTGAATGGATTTGTTTTGATTATAGACTGGAGCAACTTCACTTTCAAGCAGGCCTCCAAACTTACACCAAGCATGCTGAGATTAGCTATAGAGGGTCTTCAGGTAAAGCTCTCCTTTCACCCCCTTCTTATCCCATTTTCTCCATTTCTGTAGGTACATGCTGAAAATTGAAAATTCCATACAGTGAACATACATTTCTTTACAACAGGGATGCTGTTAGAAATAATTAGATCCTCTCATCATTAGTCCAGGCTAATGAATGAGGGGCCTGGTCCTACTAACAGAAAAGGCATTTTTCATTAATTTAAGAGGGAGTAAAATCATACCATAGCACTCATTCATGACAGGACACACTGGGTGCATCTACACATGCATTAATGTGCTTTAGTTAATGTGCATCAAAGCTAGTACCTCAGGGAATTTATACATGTGCTCTGGAAGTGTGGGGGGAGTTTTAATTAGAGTGGCTTTAAGAGCCACTCTAATTAAAGTGTCAGTAGTGTCTCATATATCAGTGTTCCCACACTTCAAAATGGCAGTCAAATAAGCTTTAGATAAAGTACCTCCACTGCCATTTTGAAGTGCAGGATGCTGATACAGGAGATGTGGGAGGCTGCTGAAGTGTTGGTAATTGCTACTGTCCAGCAGGCTCAATTAATCAAGTCTGCGCTGATGCACTGTAATTACACAGTGCATCAGAGCAGCCTCCCTGCTCATGTATAGGCACTGTACATTGTGAAGCACTAGGAAAATGCACATTAGCCTATCTTAATGCTCATTAACTAAAGAGCACGTTTTTTTTTTAGTAACACTTTCATGTGCATTAAAATAAGTGAACCTGCACTAAAGTGCATGTGTAGACATGCCTTCTGAATATAGTTCTAGTTTGAAACGGAGCTGTGCACCTGCTCTAAATTAAATACATACTCCTCTGCTTGAAAGTATCAGGACCAATGTGCTTAGTGGCTTGCAGGATTTAATATACTTAACTCTAATATACAGCCACTATTGTGACTGATTATTTTAGAACATTAATGGTGCAGTGCAGTGCTGCAACATTGATATTAAGGTTGTCACATAAATATGGATTACTTCCTATGATGTTATTACTAATGAAAATGAAAAAAGTATAATCTTTAAAGTAGATGTTTACCTGAATACTAACTGGGATCTTTATGTTAAAATATCTTGTGGCAGTATGCTTTGCTGTTTCATTGATATCTTTTATCATTTATGCATTTTTATTGTGTTACATGCAAAGCAAAGTAACAGCCTTATCTTTAAATTTTCTTCACTTTGATATTGCTGGGTTTGTAGAAACCTGTATGGTGCTACTGTGGCTTTTTAATCTAAATCTTGAAGTGCCTTACCCAGTGCTCTGGCTGCTGCCATGTAGAAGTGCTGGTACAATGAACAGACTGTGATCCTTATTTGCCCCTCACTTCACTCTTTTTTGATATTGGTGTAATTCTGTGGGCTCAAATGAAGTTATTTGGACTTAAACCTATAGAAGTGAGAGGACAGTTGGGCCCTGTGCGCCTTTCTTACGTGGGCTGGGAGAACAAAAAGAATTGTACAGTAAAGCATTTTTGCAGTGTTTATTTGTGTGTTGGACTCAGTAATGCATTTGTTTGGTTTTACATATGAGTTTATTTTTACTTGTTTTTGAAGAGTTTGGGTTTGAACCATGCTTTTATTTTAAAATATAAATCATCACTTCCAATAGTCTTTGTTTTTTAAATGGTGGTACTGCTTCTTGTTCTGAGGAAAACTGAGAAAACCTCTGCAACTGAGAGTCTAATAAATGATATCCAAGCTACTGAGTTTTTTTATTAAAATACCTTATTATCATATGACCAGGCTGTTTGGTAGTGAGGCTGCATGAAGTTTGATTGACGCACAGCTTACTGATTCTCTAGCAACATTTTTTTGGAAGTAAATTAAGCAAGAAGCTTCAGAGTGATAAAGGTATTGTGCTAGAGCTCCTAAGGGGTGAATTTCAGCTTTGTTTTAACTCATGCCAATAGTTACCCCTGTTGGCTTAGCTGTAAATGGATACTGGGTCATTCAGGCTGGGAATCAGACAGCCCAAGGTGATGTTTGTATACCAGTTGTCACTAGGGGTGCACCAATACAGATTTTGGGGGCCAATACTGATAGCCAATTTTTAAGGAGGTATATCAGCTGATACCAATCCGATTTTCCAATACAGCTGCGTCCAGCTAGTAAGTTTGTTGTGGTGGACAGGGAGGGAGGAGGGAAGGGGCATGAGTGGGCAAATCAATGCCCCCTGAAGTGAGGGAGGGATTGGGGTTGGGGCAGGTGCTGCCCAGGTGGGGCAGAGCAGGGTGTGGGATGGAACCGTGGTTTGTCTGGAAGACATGGGGGGGAGTAGCTCCCACCACTGCATGCACCCCAGGAGGGCACGGGGGAGCTGTGTGCCCCCAGATCTGCATGGGGGGGCAGGGGGGGCTGCAGCTGAGGGCTGGGGGCTGCTCCAGGCTCTTCCCAGGAGGCAGGGGGGTAGCTGGGCCGAGCTGCGCTTGGGATGGGCAGGGGCAGCACTGGGAGGAAGGGGGGGGGGGGGGCTACAGCAAAATTTGGGGTGGCTGCAGCAGCCCTCTATAGCCCCCCCTCCTAGCACCACTGCCACCTGCCCTGAGTGCAGCATCCCAGCCCTGCCCCCCCGCCAGGAAGAGCCTGGAGCAGACCTTGGCCCCAGCTTGCAGCTGTAGCCTGTGTTGCCCTGACCTGCCCCATGCAGATCTGGGGGCACATGCACCCCCCTTCCCTCCCAGGCTGCGCGCATTGGTGGGAGCTGCTCCCCCCCAGTACCCTCTAGACAACCTGTGGCTCCATTGCGTGCCCTGCCCCACCCCTCCCCAGCTGGGCAGCACCTACCCCAGCCCCACTCCCTCCGTTACCGCAGAGGCCATTGATCTGCCCTCCTCATGGCCCTTCCTCCCCCCTCCCCCGTCTGCAACAACAGATTTACCAGCTGTATGCAGCTCTCCAAGCTGTCGGGCTGTGCTGCTTGCTGCCCGCATGCTGCACTGTGGATGTGTGTATGCACGGGCCATTTATTCACCAAATTATCAGCCACATCAGGCCGATTTACGATTATAGTTAGTTTTCTTTATATTGGTGCTGATCCGATATCAGACCAATGTATCGGTGCACCTCTAGTTGACATACCTTAGTCATATTAGTGGTGTAGGCTTTGTAGGCTCACGTGGATTGTCATATCAATCAGGGGTTAGTCTGTGTTAAACTACTTTCTGTTTTTCTTTAATATACATGATTTGGGCTCTATCTGAATTGGAACTGTTTATCGAAAATGGGGACAAAAATATTCTGCCTCAAAGGAGATATAGTCAGGATGGCAAAACACATAATTAAAAAACAGGAAAGGTAGTGAGAATTTGAGGAATGTAAAAGGCTTGTTTACAGACTCATGCACAAATGAAGCCTTTTTTCCTCGTCTCAAATATTACAAGAAACATTTGAGGAGGCACTAAAGGGGAAAAGTGTCACATGGACATGGTAGTTGTTTATTATCTTTGTAAACATTCTTTGTTTAATCTGAGAAATGAAATTTGCTTTGGATTTTGCAGATGTCTCAAGATAGCAGCTCACTGAAATTTACTGTTTGGGAAATTCAAATGTTTGTCTTATTTTGGAGGAAGATGAGGAAGTTTTGAGCGCTGGGTTTGATGGTAAACAAATACTTCTATCCCATGAGTCTGATAAATTTTAAATCTAAACTCCACATTAAAGCCATATTTTATTTAGTTTGGTTTCCAAGAGCAGAGAAACAAGTAATGCTGCATACACTAAAAAATGGACATAATTGATATTCTACCACTCTGAATTATGTTAATTAACCTCAAGCTATTTTCCAAATTAAAAAAACCAAACTCCAATTTAAATTTAAAGCCAGCCTTCCAAAATGAAGTTTTGTCTGCTTAAATATGTTGGTTAGTAGTGTGAAAAAATCATTTTTGTGACCAGTGTTGGCATGATGATTAAAACCTGCCAGATATGCAAATTTTGTTGTCAAAGGAATCCTTTTCTTGGGATAGCAGCAGTTAAAAAATACCAGAAAAAGGTTTCCTTTTCCCTAAGGGACATGAGGTAGAGAGTGGCCAAGTGGTTAAGTTATATTGTTATGACTCCAGAAATATGAATTTAAACCCTACTCTGGCCTTGTACCAAAATGACCTCCAATCATCCAGTTGTAAATAAGTAGCTTGTCATTTGGGTTGGAGGGTCAAAGGCAGCTGGATGTGATGCTAGTGCCCTTGGCTACCAAAATTGGCCTGTATTTACCATGGCTCAAAGGAACTATACTTTTCTTAAGCCTCTAGGCTTGATTGGACCCTTGACCCCTAGCTAGCTGGGATTTTTGGAAGATGGCTTAAAGTACACCCTCAGCAAGTTTGCAGATGACACCAAGCTGTGGGGGGTAGTGGGTTTTCGGGAGGGTAGGGTTAGGATTCAGTGCAACTTAGACAAAATTGGAGGATTGGGCCAAAGGAAATCTCATGAGGTTCAACAAGGAGAAGTGCAAAGTCCTGCACTTAGGATGGAACAATCCCATGCACCAGTACAGGCTGGGGGCTGACTGGCTAGGCAGCAGCTCTACAGAAAAGGACCTGGGGGTTACAGATAATAAGATGAATATGAGCCAGCAATGTGCCCTTGTTGTCAAGATGGCTAATAGCATCCAGGGCTACACTGATAGGAGTGTTGCCAGTAGGTCAAGGGAAATGATTATGCTCCTCTATTCAGCACTGGTGAGGCCACATTTCTAGTATTGTATCCAGTTTTGGGGCCAGCACTACAGAAAAGATTTGGCCAAATTGGAGAGAATCCAGCAGAGGGCAACAAAAATGATGGAGCTGGGGGATATGACTTATGAGGAAAGACTGAGGGAAGTGGGCTTATTTAGTCTAGAGAAGAGAAGACTAAGGCGGGATTTAATAGCAGCCTTCAACTACCTGAAGAGGGGTTCGAAAGAGGACGGAGCTAGACTGTTCTCAGTGGTGGCAGATGACAGAACAAGGAGCAATGGTCTCAAGTTGCAGCAAGGGGAGTTTTGG